AGTTGCTGAAGTCTTGTTGGTAGCCTATAGATCGTTTGTCAATCGTTTTGGGTGGGTTCTCATTTTAATTTATGTCATTCCTATTTAATATGTAGGGGAATAATTGTATCCATGAATATGAAATGATGTCTTTTTCCCCATTGAAACAAAAATACATTTACTTATGTTTGCTTTTGATGCCTTGTGGTTTTTGTATGATTTATTAGTACCTTGCAATAAGTGCATAATTGGGAACCTACTGTGTCGCTGGCCTCTAGTGGAGACTGGGAAAAGAATCCTCAGAAATACATCAAATACACACCAGAAGATTTAGACCGAATGTTGGGTGAATATTTTGAAGGAAAAAACACGAGTGAAACAAGCGGTAAAATAATTGCTGATAACTTAAGATAGGTCTATTTTAAATATGAATTTTCAAATGGAGTTATAACTTATTAATATCCAAGACCAAATAAACATCAAGAACCCAAGATTGTTAGCTACTAATAATACCATGTTCAGTTGATTCTTGAATGTAAAGGAACTCATAGGCATGTCCAATATGACAAGTTTCTTTGGATCAAAATTAGTAGGCAAGGATGGTTCAGGATATAGGCTCCATTTTAGCACTCTTAAACTTTTTGGGAGAGCACTAGGTCCTCTAGAAAAGTGAATATTTTCTACCACCAATATTTTGAAGTTTTCCATATTCTCCAATGCGATTCCATCCCATTGCACTTCTTTAACTTTAGGCAAGTGTAGCATGATGATCTCAGTTTTATCAGATCCCTTTAAGCCATAATAGTCAAATTAGGATAAAATTTTCAAATTATAAAGCTTATTATCTAATAACTAACAAATTTCGTAAATATAAAATTTAATTGTAGAGGGTTAATAACCAGGTCTTCCAATATGTCTTTGTCAAAAATGAAAAATGGAAGGATCCAAGAGACAAATAAGCGTAATGCACATACCTTGTTCTGTTTGAAAACACGAAGAATATCTTTAGAGAACCATAATCTACTGCGTTCACCTGGTTTTGAGGGTGATTCAAGCCTTACAATTTCTCTACCCATATCTTCAATCAAATCATGCATTCTCACACAATGTCGATTAATTATTATTAGACATTTATCAACCAACACCTGGATAGCATAGTCTGGGGCAGAGCCACGACCACTATGTAGTATGCTTATGACATCATGCAGACAGTATCCTTTAAAGAAACAAGCAATGTCTAAAAATATTTCCTTTTCAAATTCCTTTAAGCCATCATAGCTAACTCTTAGGTCTGCCCCCATTCTCGTGTAGTCTCTGTCAATCACATTTAATTAAAATATGTCAGTTAAGCATCCACGTAAGTATGAGAAAATATTCAAAACATAGATAAGATACCTCATTCAGTAACATTTCATTAGACTCAGAAGATAAAGATGTGCAATTGATAGCTGAAAGATTTTTTATGTTTGGTGGAAGGCCTTTGATTTCTCGAAGCTCCTTGCATCCATTCAAATAAAGTGTTTTTAAGGAGACACAGACACTGATGGATGATGGAAGGATTGTGATATTACTATAACTAAGGGATAGATATGTTACATTGTGCAACCAAGGAAGAACTGTGCAAAGAAATTGATCTGTCAAATGATAACAATGATTAAAATTAACATAGTCCACACTTGAAGACATTGTTACTTGACCTTGACCTTCCCCATTCTGAACTCGAGCAAGCCGCTCACAAAAGTCAGCACCCAACATCTTAAGTAGTGGCAGCTTAAAAATACTACTTGGTAGTTCAAGTAGCCATCTGCATCCATTGAGACCCAGGAATTTGAGTCCAACTAGATTTTCAATTGAAAAAGGCAAGCCACTTATGTCACTACCACTCAAATAAAGTGAATCTATGTTTTCCATCTTCCCTAAAATTTTTGGAAAACTCCTCAGACTTGTGCAATTCATAAGGTACATGTTCTTAAGAGAAGTTAAGTTCATGCCATAGGGAAGAATCCTAAGACTGCTGCAATCATCAAGATTCAAATATTCCAGTTTATCAAGGAATCCAACAGAATCATGAACTTCAACTAAATTTTTGCAATTAACAAGATGCAATTTCTTCAAATTTGGTGCTCCAGACATGTCGGGTATTTCTTTTAGTAATTGGCAACCACTGAAATTCATTTCTATCAAAGACTTGAATTTCTGCAAAATACAAAAAACAACGTAGTAAATAATTTATGAATTTTCAAATGGAGTTATAACTTATTAATATCCAAGACCAAATAAACATCAAGAACCCAAGATTGTTAGCTACTAATAATACCATGTTCAGTTGATTCTTGAATGTAAAGGAACTCATAGGCATGTCCAATATGACAAGTTTCTTTGGATCAAAATTAGTAGGCAAGGATGGTTCAGGATATAGGCTCCATTTTAGCACTCTTAAACTTTTTGGGAGAGCACTAGGTCCTCTAGAAAAGTGAATATTTTCTACCACCAATATTTTGAAGTTTTCCATATTCTCCAATGCGATTCCATCCCATTGCACTTCTTTAACTTTAGGCAAGTGTAGCATGATGATCTCAGTTTTATCAGATCCCTTTAAGCCATAATAGTCAAATTAGGATAAAATTTTCAAATTATAAAGCTTATTATCTAATAACTAACAAATTTCGTAAATATAAAATTTAATTGTAGAGGGTTAATAACCAGGTCTTCCAATATGTCTTTGTCAAAAATGAAAAATGGAAGGATCCAAGAGACAAATAAGCGTAATGCACATACCTTGTTCTGTTTGAAAACACGAAGAATATCTTTAGAGAACCATAATCTACTGCGTTCACCTGGTTTTGAGGGTGATTCAAGCCTTACAATTTCTCTACCCATATCTTCAATCAAATCATGCATTCTCACACAATGTCGATTAATTATTATTAGACATTTATCAACCAACACCTGGATAGCATAGTCTGGGGCAGAGCCACGACCACTATGTAGTATGCTTATGACATCATGCAGACAGTATCCTTTAAAGAAACAAGCAATGTCTAAAAATATTTCCTTTTCAAATTCCTTTAAGCCATCATAGCTAACTCTTAGGATTTGTTGAATATCTTCATGAGGAATTCTTTCATAAGTATCTAATGCTGACTTCCATTCCAACTCTGTCTTACCATATAAATCAGAGCCTATTATTTCCAGAGATAATGGTAGGCCATTAGAATGTTGCAATACTCTCTTTGAAATGTCCAGATAACCAGGATCAACCTGCTTTCTATGGAAAGCATTCCAGCTGAACAATTCAAAGGCTTCTTCATGATTTCTCTTGGGTTTGTTGAGAAAGGGAGTTGATTGAATCCACTAACTGTTTGGATTGTCCAAGCTCACTCCCCCCATTAATCATAGATAATGCCTGGAAAGAGTCTGATATGATATAAATGTGAGTAAATTCTTTAGCTAAAGCTAATCTTAACCCATGAAATATGCTCCAAAGTTTTGACTGAACAACAGAATTGACCTCTAGAGAACGAGCAAACCCCCCTGCATACATGCCTGAATGATTAATAAGCAAGCCTCCACAAGCAGTCTTATTAGTTCGGTGTGAATGTGCTCCATCGCAATAAGCACGAACCCAAGGAGACCTCTGAGATGGGACTATAAGGATCTCCCTACATTGAAACCTTGAAATGCCCGAACATGTTATATATATTGTGCATTAATAACTACACATTCAAATTAATTATAATATAATTCAAATATTATTATAAGACTTAATATTTTTCCTCACTGATATGAGCTACATTGTTTAAAAAAATTATTAAATTGAAAATTTCTTATTACCACACTTATAAAAAATTATCTTATTTTCAAACTTATATGTAACACCTTATTTATCAATTCAAATTTCATATAGATGGTTGGAATTTTAGATTTTATTGCAAAAATTTTCTTTTTATATTTTATTTTAATAATATATTTATAATATTATCATAATTAATAGTCATGACTCTTAATTTAAAATTAATAATTTTATCGTGTCTTTTAATTACAAATTAATCATTGTTATGTAACTATTGATTCAAATGGTAACATTATCAACTATCTCAATTAAAAATTAATTTTCACTTATAAATTCTGAATAAATATAATTTAATGTTTTACTAATTACAAATGCAATAACTAATAACATTATTTTTATAAAATTTTAAATTATCAGTTATTTAATAAAAAATTAATATAAGCTTAATTTCTTTATCATTATATTTAATGTATGATCCCCGGTATATATATTTAATGCTAATTTCACTTTTAAAATATACCTAAATTTGAAAAACTTATAAAAATTTACCAATATACTTTAATTTCAAATAACTCTTCAGTTATATAATTTGATATTATAACAACTCATCATTATTACAAGTATTAAAAATGATCTATTTTTAATTGTAAATTATTATTTTATTTTTGAGACATATAATACCTTGGTGTATCCTTCTTTTGAAATAGAAACACAAGGTTAGGAGGAGTTTGGAAAAAAGTTGAAAAGTTTTATAGTTACCTCTTGGCAGGGTGGCGAAGTTTTTGTCTTTTATTTGATAAAGCAAGCACATATCGACTACCACTTTCTTCTTGATCACTTTCCTCTCCTTCACGTACTAAATTGTCTACCATTGAAAAGTCAGGATTTGTAAATTGGATATCTGCCATGTTTGTTTTTTGTTCCTGTACATGTACTCCCATCCATTCTATATCTTTTGCTCCATAACCACCAAACAAAATCTCAGCACTGTTCCATCCATTCTTAATATGTAATCCTTTATGAAAAAACCATAAAAAGAGAACATCAAACAGAACTGTGTGATTTGTGTTAGTTATATAACAGATACCATCTGTTCGGGGCAGTAGCACGCCATTAACCTTCAGGCGCCAGGCCCACTTATTGTCATATATTGAATAAAAAAGTCCAGCAGCACATAGAGTTAATGCTGGGAACTTGTTACGAAACCAGAAACGCAGGGATGGACCCTTGTTACTGCAATTCAACCAACTTGGCATACTTGATCCTGTAAATTCGAAATATGTGCCCCCATTCTCGTGTAGTCTCTGTCAATAACATTTAATTATAATATGTAAGTTAAACATCCACGTGAAGTATGATAAAATATTCAAAACATAGATAAGATACCTCATTCAGTAACATTTCCTTCGACTCAGTAGATAAAGATGTGCAATTGATAGCTTCAAGATATTTAATGTTTGGTGGAAGGCCTCTGATTTCTCGAAGCTTCTTGCATCCATTCAAATTAAGTGTTTCCAAGGAGAGACAGACACTGATGGATGATGGAAGGATTGTGATATTGCTGTTAGAAAGGGATAAATCTCTTACATTGCGCAACCAAGGAAGAACTGCGCAAAGAAATTTATCCGTCAATTCATAAACTTCACACACTCTACTTGAAGACATTGTTACTTGACCTTGACCGTCCCCATTCTGAACTCGAGCAAGCCGCTCACAATAGTCGGCACCCAACATCTTAAGTTGTGGCAGCTTAAAAATACTACTTGGTAGTTCAAGAAGCCATTTGCATCTATCGAGACTCAGGAATTTGAGTCCAATTAGATTTCCAATTGAAGAAGGCAAGCCACTTATGCCACTGCCACTCAAATCAAATGAATATACGTTTTCCATCTTCCCTAAAATTTCTGGAAAACTCTTGAGACTTTTGCAATTCTTAAGGGACATGGTTTTAAGAGAAGTTAAGTTCATGCCACGGGGAAGAATCCTAAGATTAGTGCAATCATTAAGATTCAAATATTCAAGTTTATCCAGAAATCCAAGGGAATCATGAACTTCAACTAAATTTTTGCAATTAACAAGAAGCAGTTTCTTCAGATTCGGTGCTCCAGACATGTTAGGTATTTTTTTTAGTAATTCGCATCTACTTAACTTCATTTCCATCAAAGACTTGAAGTTCTGCAAAATGAAAAAAACAGCATAGTAACTAATTTATGAATTTTGAAATGGAATTATAACTTAATAATATCCAAGACCAAATAAACATCAAGAATCCAAGATAGATAGCTACTAATAATACCATGTTCACTTGATCCCTGAATGTAAAGGAACTCAAAGGCAGGTCCAATATGACAAGTTTCTTTGGATCAAAATTAGTAGGCAAGGATGATTCAGGATATGCACTCCATTTTAGCACTCTTAAACTTTTTGGGAGAGCACTAGGTCCTCTAGAAAAGTGAGCATTTTCTACCACCAATATTTTAAGGTTTTCCATCTTCTCCAACACCGTTCCATCCCATTGCACTTCTTTAACTTTAGGCAAGTGTAGCATGATGATCTCAGTTTTATCGGATCCCTTTAAGCCATAATAGTCAAATTAGGATGAAGTTTTCAAATAATAAAGCTTATTATTTAATAACTAAAAAAATTCATAAATATAAAATTTAATTGTAGAGGGTTAACATCTAGGTCTTCCAATATGCATTTGTCAAAAATGAAAGAAAAGAAGAATCAAAGAGAAAAACAAGCATAATGCACATACCTCGTTGTGTTTGAAAACACGAAGAATATCTTTAGAGAACCATAATCTACTGCGTTTACCTGATTTTAAGGGTGATTCAAGCCTTACAATTTCTCTACCCATATCTTCAATCAAATCATGCATTTTCACATTACATGCATCAATCTTTATTAGACATTTATCAACCAACACTTGGATAGCATAGTCTGGGGCAAAGCCGCGACCACTGTGAAGAATATTTATGACATCATTCAGATAGTATCCTTTAAAGAAGCAAGCAATGTCTAAAAATATTTTCTTTTCAAATTCCTTTAAGCCATCATAGCTTACTCTTAGGATTCGCTGAATATCTTCATGAGGAATTCTTTCATAAGTATCTAATGCTGACTTCCATTCCAACTCTGTCTTACCGTATAAATCAGAGCCTATTATTTCCAGAGATAATGGTAGGCCATTAGAATGTTGCAATACTCTCTTTGAAATGTCCAGATAACCAGGATTAACCTGCTTTCCTTTGAAAGCATTCCAACTGAACAGTTCAAGGGCCTCTTCTTGATTTAATCCTTCCATTTCATAGGTTCTTTCAACACCATGAACACGTAACAAATGCTTATTTTTAGTGGTAATAATAATTCTGCTGCCTGGACCAAACCAATCAAGTCCACCTGCAAGTGCTTCTAATTGCTTCAATTTGTCAACATCATCCAAAATTAAAAGAACTTTCTTTTTACATAGCCTACTTTTAATTATTGGAATCCCTTTCTTTACATTCCCCAACTTAATGTCTTTCTCCGTTGTGATAATAATTCTGCTGCCTGGACCAAACCAATCAAGTCCACCTGCAAGTGCTTCTAATTGCTTCAATTTGTCAACATCATCCAAAATTAAAAGAACTTTCTTTTTACATAGCCTACTTTTAATTATTGGAATCCCTTTCTTTACATTCCCCAACTTAATGTCTTTCTCCCCAACTATATCAGAAAGAAGTGTCTCCTGAAGGTGAACCAGCTCTTTTTTCATTGAATTTTCTCTAATGTCAGCTATAAAAGATAGAGCTTCAAATTGATGAGCAATGAAATTGTATACTGCACAAGCAAGTGTTGTCTTTCCAATTCCACCTATTCCATAAATCCCTACCATGTGGACTCCATCATTTGACTCAAGATCAAGAAGTGACTTCACCTTTTGGACGCGAGACTCTAAGCCAACTGGATAATTAGCAACATATAAAGGGTTCCGATTGATCCTTCTATAGACTTCTTGAATGATATCTCGGATAAAATCATATTCGTACCTGCCCAAGTGCAAAAAATTAAAATTCTAATACCCTACGAAAAATAATAAAATATATAGGAAAAGAATGGTTACTTATTTGCATACCCTTGTTTGAAATGCCAACCGGATAGATTAGCTGCTGCTTGCAAAACTGACCTCCATTTTTTCACCTTATTCTTGTCACTAATTCTGCTTTCATGTTTGGCTAGTGCTTCTGCATAACTTCCTTTCTGATAGCGAACGTCACATGGTTCCACTTGATAAAAAACAGGCCAAACCAGCATGCCATTGTGTTTGAAGCACTCCATAATATTCACAAGTTCTTGCAAACAAAAAGTTGATGATGCATAGTTTTGTGAAAAAATGACAATGGCAATCCTAGATTCTTGAATTGCCTTTAACAAAGCTGGTGTCACTTCTTCACCCTTCCTAAGCTCTTGATCATCCATGAAAGTGTTGACTCCCTTCTGACACAAACCATGGAAAAGGTTTCCAGTAAAACTAGTGCGGGTGTCTTCACCCCGAAAACTCAGAAAAACATCATAACTCCATTGATAGGCAAAGGAAGAGGATGTTGGATAAGGC